TACAAGAAGCCGTGGATACACTTCATGATAATGGAATCCGTGGACAACCAATGAGGAATGGTCATAATAAGGTTTACAAGTCGTTTTCAGATGTAATTGAAGGAAAAGAGGGAAGATTTTGTGAGACTCCACTTGGCAAACGGGTCAATTATTCGGGGCGTTCCATCATTGTCGTTTGGCTTTCACTTTCTCTACATTGTTAACTCGGTTAAGTTTTCACCAAGTGGAGGAGAATGATGTAGAACAAGAAGCTTCTAAAATGGGTATATTTCAATAATAGGATATATGAGGCGGAATCAATAAAGGAACATAAAAGTTTTGAGAAATTAACTAAAAGAATTAGGAAGATTTAATTTCTTTTTATAAGTTTTAAAAAGTTTTACAATAAAGGGAAATGGAAAGATATGTTTTCCTATTTCCTAGATTTCTTATTTTCCTAATTCTTTCTGTTTAATTTGTTTTCCTAGTTCTTACATTTCTTATTTTCCTAATCTTTTTTATTTAATTTATTTTCTTATTTTACTAGATTTTCTAAATTTCCTACTTTGATGTATTTTCATGCGTGTAGATGAGGTGTCCTATCTTAATTTTTAGGTATGATGTTGATGATTATCATTCAGATATTGAGATATGTTTTGATTATTGAGATATGAGATTTTCAATTTTTATTAAGAATAAAAATTCTCTAAAGTTATATTCAAGCTCTTTTTGTCATACATCACAAGCTGCAGTGGACTATTTGAAATTTTAGGGGATGGATTGCATGAGATCTTTTGGGGGCTTAATACTCTTCAGAACTTACACAAAACTGGTTATTTACTTCTTCAATTATCTTCCCTGCACAGGCAGCCCCTTCTGCTGATCTGATCTTATCTAATTCTTGTTAATAGTGAAGATTGAGTTCATTGGCCAACCTTAATGATAATTTTTTGAAAATTACAAATTATTTTTGACGGTTACTTTGAATTATATTTTGTGTTAATTCATCAGGTGGCGAAGTGCTCTTTTGTGGAGAACATTTTTCACAACAGCAGTAGTTGCTATGGTTTTAAGAGCCTTCATACAATTCTGCACCACTGGAAAATGTGGACTGTTTGGTGAAGGTGGTCTCATAATGTATGATATCAGTTCAGCCAGGGCTTCATATGGCAGTGGAGATGTGTTGGCAATCATACTTCTGGGTATAATTGGAGGCCTCTTTGGAAGCCTATATAACTATCTCGTCGACAAGGTCCTTCGTACCTATACCATTATTAACGAGTATGTATAAATATATGTATATGTGTGTGTTTGTATGTATGGTGATGATCTTAGCAGTTGTTGATACAAAATCTTGCTCATGATATCTGATGCAGAAGAGGTGCTGCTTTCAAAATTCTACTGGTTATCACCATTTCTGTGTTGACGTCATGTTGTTCTTATGGGCTGCCATGGTTTGCCAACTGCATTCCTTGTCCTTCTGATATTACAAGTGATATCAGATGTCCTAACATCGATCGATCTGGCAACTACAAAAGCTTCCAGTGCCCACCAGGACATTACAATGATCTTGCTTCTCTGTTTCTCAACACTAATGATGACGCTATTCGCAATCTCATCAACACCAAAGATGACACAGAGTTTAATATTTCCTCTCTGCTCATCTTCTTTGCTGCTGTTTATTGTCTTGGCATAATCACATATGGGATTGCTATCCCTTCGGGCCTCTTCATTCCTGTGATATTAGCAGGAGCTGGCTATGGTCGTGTGATTGGAAGGCTGTTCGAACCAATCTCCAAACTCAACACTGCTCTCTTTTCCCTCCTTGGAGCTGCATCTTTTCTTGGAGGCACAATGAGAATGACAGTCTCTCTCTGTGTTATACTACTAGAACTCACCAATGATCTACTATTTCTACCTCTTGTGATGCTAGTTCTACTCATATCAAAAACTGTTGCAGATAACTTCAACAAGGGTGTGTATGATCAGATTGTGAAAATGAAGGGATTGCCTTACATGGAATCTCACGCAGAACCTTACATGAGACATTTAGTTGCAGGAGATGTTGTTTCTGCTCCACTTGTCACATTTTCTGGAATTGAGAAAGTGGGTAATATTTTACATGCTCTAAAACTACAGGCCATAATGGATTTCCTGTGATAGATGAACCACCTTTCTCAGATGCACGTGAATTGTGTGGACTTGTTCTTAGATCCCACTTACTTGTTTTGCTGAAAGGAAAGATTTTCTCAAGAGATAGAGTACCTGCTGGACAGGAGATCTTGAAGAGATTTGCAGCGTTTGATTTTGCAAAGGCAGGTTTAGGGAAAGGAATCAAAGTAGAGGATTTAGATATTGAAGATGAAGAGAGAGAAATGTATATAGATCTCCATCCTATAACTAATGTATCTCCATATACTGTTGTTGAAACAATGTCATTGGCAAAAGCTGCAATCCTTTTTCGCCAACTCGGTCTCAGACATATGTGTGTGGTGCCAAAAAGTCAAGGGGTAAGTACCATCTCTCTCTCTCTCTCTCTCTCTCTCTCTATATATATATATATATATATACATAACATTCACTTTTTTCTCCACTCTTGAAGTTATTCTAACCTATATATATATATATATATATACAATGATTGCAGAGGTCTCCAATAGTTGGCATTTTGACAAGACACGATTTCATGCCAGAGCACATTTTGGGACTCTATCCTCATATGATGCCTCACAAGTAGAATTCTTTTTTGTTTGGGAATTGTTTTGTGTGTCATTGCTTGAAACCATCGTTTCGAGAGAAGCCATGGAAGGAATGGATCTCCAATCCGTGGAATATGTTGAACAGTAGTAAAGACTAGAGTTTTTTTTACTAGCAATATATATATATATATATATATATATGTAGAGGGGTGCTTGGGATTTCAAAAGTTTATTTATCTTATTGTGCTTTAATAAAATTTGGATTGTTTTGCTCATATTATTGTCGGATCCGAACAGAAAAATTAGACCAAAATTGGTTCCCAATTCCATAAATTTTTTATTCATGCCAATTTGAATTCTATATGCACCAAATACTGAAAACAAATTATAGAATAAAAATAAAAACTTCCCCCAAACCAACCTGCTAACCATGAAAATTTCTTTCTTCTTCCATTTTCACTTCTTGGCACTCAGCTACGCTATTAAGGTTGGGTTAGTGTTAATAATGTTATTGCTAATTTAATATCTAAATGTAAGAACACAGAAAAGCCTTGATCCTGTGAATGGTGTTGGTTATTCTTATTGTTGTTAACAACTTAACTCTTCCTCATTTTCTAACTCTTTGCTTTCTCATTCTCTTCTATTCGTCTAAGGTGCTTCTTCAGTTGTATAAAATACTGAACACGATTTCGATAAAAAGTTTCTAAAATTATATTAGTTCTTAGATAATATTCTAATTTAGTAAAGTTCTAATTTAAATATATTAGTTTTTTTTATTTATTTTCTATAATTAAAAACCTAAAAATGCTACCTTCCTCCCAATATATATGGCCAATGCTACGATGAGACTTCTTGTAAAAGAAGAAATAGTTAAAATTATTGGATAGTTGTTTTTCTAAAATGCTCCAAAATCTAACTATTTTAGAGTTAGGGGAAGGATAGCAATGCAATTGTAAAATAAAATTGGTACATTTTACAAAATGTAAAAAGCAATAGTACAAGTAATTTTTACTAGATTGAGATATACTTTAGTTTACTAATTTTAATTTTTTAAAAACATATTTCTTTTAAAAAAACTTTTGAGGCAACAATGCCGAAGTAACCTGGATTGATCTTTATAATGGACCTATATGAATTTATTTATTTATTTTTTTTATTTTTTTGTAAGTTTGGATTAAGGTTAGACTAAGTCTTCTTTATGTAACTGCAGTTTGAGACCGACATATCTAGTTATGTTCAGCGTCGTACGTTGAACCCGTCCATTATAAAAAGTGGGACATCGGTCTCCTCCACATCCAAACTTTATGTTAAAGTTGGTAAATGAACACGCACAAATGTTGCTCACTAATCTATATAAACACAACCACTCTATTATGACAAATGGTTTTTAAATATTGACTTTAATAGATCTCTTTATAATCTTTTTTATATATATATTTTTAAAAAAAAATTAAATGCACTTAAACATTTGAATGTTGTATAAAAAAACATTAAAGTTTCACCTATTTATTATTTTCAAAATATGATTAAGTAGAGTTTTTAATACGTTGTATCTATCTTAATTAAGGTAATTTAACAAACACATAATGTTTCTCTTATTCAGAAATGTGATAAATTCATTAAAACTTAGCACAATTTGGTCGGTGCAATCCTAACTATTGTTAAGATTTTATTATGTATTTAAGATATATTAAACATGGAGTAGTAGTGTCTTAACTATGGAGTAGTAATTATAGAGTAGTGATATCTTAATTTCAGCAATTGTAAATTAGTGAGTTAGTGGTGTTTTTAGTAGGTTACTAATTATTTAATTTTTGTAACATTTACTTATTTTTGTCCTATTTAAATAGATTGATTTCATCAGTATAAATTATTTAAGTTTAATTTAATTATTTTATTTCT